AAAGTTTGAGACAGAGACCGTAAAGCATGAAGGCTATCGTTTTGACTACCCATTAAGATGGCTAAGAGACCCATCTGTCACAAAAGCTATTGGCTTTCGTAGAATGAAGTTCATTTCAGAAGCCATACATGGTTTCCCATTTACGGTCGGTTTTGAAGTTCGATACTATAACAAAGAAAAACGTATGTATGAGAAATTTGAACAGGGAAAACTTTTACAAGTTAGTTTGCTTGTAAACTTAGAAACAACTCTTCAAGCTTTTCAAGAAAAAATAAACGATATCTATATCGAATATGCAAAACAGTATAACATTGACGAAGGAGAATACCATCTCGATATTATTTATGACAGGAAAAATGCAACTGTTAAAATCAATAGAATAGAAGACCTTGGAGAAAACGTTTATATTTCTACAAAATATAACAACTTGGCATGGTATAGATTTATGAGGATGTTAAATCAGCCTGCAGCATATCCAGTACACCCAGACTTTTATGAAGTCGAAAACCCTAATGGAACATATGAAAATGTTTTCGACCAAGATGCTATTATTGTTCATGCTTCATTTTCTGGCGCCCAAAACTCTTTCTTATGCTTGGCAAATGACTTTTACGAAAAACCTACAAAGTTATACGAACCACCAAGTGGAAGTATTTCAGACTTTCAAGTATGGTTTACTACAGATGGAAGAAAAAGAATAATTCCATTATACCATGCGTTTTACTTAGAACTTAGTTTCATATACAACTACTATCGAACGGTAAAAATATAACTTTTTAATACGGTTGAGGTGTTGGATTTGGTTGCCAACTAGACTGTGGTGCAGGTTCAGGCTGTTGTATAACAGGAGCTTGTTCTTCTGGTTCAGGGTCTTTAGGTATAATACCAACAAACTGACCTACTCTTTTACCAATATTTTTGACTCCGTTCCAAATTCCTCTTCCTACGGTTTTTATTCCATTCCATATACCTCTTCCAACTCTTCTGAAGAAGTTTCCAATACTACTGAAGAAACCCATTTTACTATATGTAAAAATCTAATGTCCGCCTAGTCTCTTACGTTTCCTGTTGAGTTCCATAGCATTCTTTAACTGGAGCTCATACATTCTGTTTCTCCTCTGGTAGAAAACATATTCTGGGTCAACTCCTGTGTTCGCGTCATCTGCATAAAGTTGTTTATATCCCACTTCAGGGTTTGTATAAAACTCTTTCCATCTCATATTTGCATACCATGGTGGCAAACCTAACGCAGCGTCATTTGACATGGCAGTTTGCATTTGTACATCTGTTGGCACTTGACCATAGTTTGCCATTGCAGTTTGTATTCTAACTTCATTTGGAATATTCTCTGGGTTTGGTTGTCCAGGTTGCTGTGCATTCGCTAAGTTCTGTGCGTCCATTTAATATTAGATAAAAATATCTCTTACGAGTACATATACTGAACATTTGCAGGCATTGGTTCATCTTCATATTCTCTGTACTTTTCTGCCACGTCAAAGAAATAAATGACACAATGGAAAAAACCTAAAACAAGTAGTCCGATTTCAAACCACATTTACTTACTAATAAAATTTCTTTATTGTGACACTTTCTCCAGTTTATAGGACCTCTCTCATATTCTATCTTGTCATATATAAACTCATAGTCATGTATGTCCTCTAACCATCTCATAACGGTTTCCAAACCACTTTTATCGGATGTAAAGTAAAAGCATGGATGGTTATGTAAAACGTCTAAAGTTTCTAAAGAGTCTCTCAAAGTCCAGTCTACTTGGTATTGAAAATCCCATGTGTTATAGAACGGCGGGTCCACTATAAAGAAAACATTTTCCTTGTCTTTATATTTTTCATACAAATCTGTCCAATGACATCTCACAAACTCTATACCCTCAATATATTTTTCTATGTCCTCTTTGAAAACATTTGTATAGTTAAGATATAAAACTTTTGACATAAGTGTTTCAATGTCATGAACTCTTATAGAACCACTATATAATAGTCTAGCAGATATACTATCCCAGTCTATATATTCTGCTTTTTTCAAAACCTCTCTCACAATATTTTTCTTATCTAATGGTATACGTTCGATCTTACCTATAGGTATCTTTTCTTTTAACTCTTTCAATATATTGTTTGTGTCTGGAATATGTTTGAGACGGTCCATATAGTTGTCGAAGTCATTGCATATAATCTTTGAGTCTGGGAATATTATATGGCACAAATGGGATATATAGAAACTTCCACCGAACAAATCTACAAATGTTAGACCATTCGGTAGTTTCTTAAGTTCTCTCAATATAATATCTTTACATCTACTCTTATTTCCAAAGAACGGTAACGGTGGTTTTGTAAAATTCATTTATATATAATAATAAAAATGTTTTTACCTGAAAAGTGACAGAAAAGTGACAAAACATGAAAACATATATAATTTGTGAAAAGCTCCTGGAAGACCCGTATATATAAGAACTTCATTTATAATAATCATCTTCAGGGCTAGAAGGCACGAAGTGCCTGGAGGCCCCACTACCTTTTTTTTTTTTTTTTTTTTTTTTTTTTTAATTATGTACGATGACAAGGGAAAATTCATCTTTTTCACAGAAAGAGATGAATTTAATGAAGATCAAAAACTTCAAAGCAGTTTATATCCATATATTGGCGAAGGATATTTTTTATTTTTATTTGGATATTTGTTACTTGAATTATGTTGTTACTACGGAGCAGTTGATTGTTTCAAGTTATTAAGAACTAAATTTAACTCAAAAATAACTGAAACATGTCTAGAACTTTCATTTTTAGGCGGAAATCCAGAGATCATGAGTGAATGTTTTAAAAATCTTAAAACAGATGAAAAATGCATGGAGTATGCAATTATATCACACAACATTGACTTTGTTACATTCCTGATGAATGAATACAGTTTAGAGATCGATTTACTTAATTGCGGAATATATAAAAATCTTGAATCATTTTTGGTTTATTTCGATCAAACTAATGATATAGGGTGTCCAAAGGTGTGTTTAGCACAAACCTGAATACTGCGAATAGAAATAAACAAGTTACATATATATAAAGTTTATTTAAATATAATCACCATTGGATTCAATCACGCGTTCGCAGCGATCGATCCAGGCTTCAAAGACACGCTTTAAATCATCATGAGAAAATTGCTCAAATTGCTCTCTTACAAAACTTTCAAGATCATCTGGACTCGCGAATTCGCGTCCTTCAGCTCTCTTTTTTAGCGTGCCGAATAAATAAAAGTCAGAGGGTGCAATATCAGGTGAATAAATTGGGTTTGGAACAACTTTGACATTGTTTTCCACCAAGTAATTCATTACCTTATGACTTTTGTGAACTCTTGAATTATCAAAATGAATTGCAAACTTTTGTTTTTGTTGTTTGGATTTCTCAAACTCATCAGAATTGATAATTTGAGTAAGAACATTGTCAATTAGATACTGAGCATTCATCGTATTAGGTTTTTGAAGAATATCAATTGCGATGATGCCATTCACGCCCCAAAAAACCGACAACATCATCATTGGTGTGTCAATTTTTTTCTTCGGGAATGTTTGCGGATTTTCATCCTTCGGGATCCACATGATTTTGGCTTCTGTTGCATATTGAAACCAAGACTCGTCCCCTGTTACTAAAAAGCGAAACTTCTTGGATTGATACGCACCCAATATAGAGAGGAGCTCTTTCGAAGATTGGACTCTAGATTTTTTTTGAACTGAATTAAGGTTGTGCGGAACCCAACGTGTATACGCTAGTTTGTAGTTCAAATAATTGTGCAGATAATAACTGACTGTTGTAAGTGGTATCTTTGTCATCTCCTCTATCCTTCTGAGTGATGCTCTTGGGTATTCATCTAGCGCTTGAAGAATTGCTTTGATTTTTCTTTGATCCGGCGATTTTTTGTCAATTTTTATGATGGGCGCCTTTTTGTTCATGAAGTGATACATCCTAACATGATACGTTACAGTGGAATAGCTAGGAGCATCCATACCGAAGCATTTTACCAATGTCTCGTAGATTTTTTACAGTCTTTGCATTTTTTTGCAAGAGCGAGGATGTTTTCTTTATGATTCATTAAAAAAATGAAAAAAATCCCGCCAAAATTTCCCGCGAAACCGCCTCTTGTCTCAAAATTCATTTTATATCCCGGCATGGCGCCAAAATACAACTTACTCATCATATACATATATTCATATTTTTTATTATATATTTATAATCAGCATATATCTCCTTTAATAGTCTCATATAGAGCGCTGTGCTAAACGCACCTTTGGACACCCTATATTAACAAATGCTTTATTTATACTGCGATATTTGATACTCCATCTCTTTGCGAATATTTCATTTCGCATGGTGCAAATATCAATGAAAAAGATAAAAATGGACAAAATGCACTTCATATTGCAACAGAAAATAATAGTAAAGAAACAGCCGAACTTCTTATTTCACATTGTGCAAATATCAATGAAGAAGATAATAATGGAGAAGCCGCTCTTCATCATGCAGCATTATGTAATAGTAAAGAAATAGTTGAACTTCTTATATCGCATGGTATCAATATCAATGAAAGAAATGGTTATGGAAAAATCGCTCTTCATTATGCAGCATATAATAACCATAAAGAAATAGCTGAACTTCTTATTTTAAATGGTGCAAAAATCAATCAAAAAACACTTTATGGTGGACAAACCGCTCTTCATATTGCAGCAGAAAATAATAGTAAAGAAACAGCCGAACTTCTTATTTCACATGGTGCAAAAAATTAATGTTCCTACATAAGAATTCTGAACAATGCAGTTTTTTTTTATTCACTCATGATTTCTGAATTTCTTCCTAAAAAAATAATTTCAAATATACATATATTATATCTGAGTTCATTTCAGCATAACTTACACATCCCCATTCGATTCAAATTTATTGAGAATAGCTAATAAAAATAAAATTTGAAAATTAATATTAGAAAAAATACAAACAAAACATTTATTTCATGGTTAAAGGTAATTCTGGGAGATCGGATCTACAAACAGGGCATGTATATTTCTGCTCCAGCCATCTCTTCAAGCAGTTTAAGTGAAGAGTATGGTTACATGGAGTAGTTATCGGATCTCCCATCGTAACAGGTAGAAGGCAGATGGGACAGATTGCTCCTTCCGGTGGATCACGTTTGGAATATTGAGGTTTCTTCTTGGAAAGAAGAAATGCTGAAATGTAACTTTGAAATGGAAGAACAATGAGTTGTGTTAGTAGTATGATAATAACAAATATATATTTTGGAATAGAATAGGCATTGAAAATGCTCTTTGTGTACAAAAATGAATATGCAAAATAAATCGCTCTGGAAATTGAAAAGAAAGCAAGGGTTTTGAATCCAAGGTTTGCATTGAATCCTGAAACAGCATTCAATATAACCTGAGCAAACCAAGGACCAGCGGTAAACAAAAGTGGGATAAAACTAAACGAAACAATCAAACGGCAACAAATAAATATTGATATGAGGCCAAATAATGTATATAATAATGCTGACGTTGTCCTTTTTTCTTTCGGAATCGCGATTACAAATCTGACCATTTCTGGCATTACTTCAACAAGAAATAGCAGTAAATAGCAAACGATCAGAAAGTATTTTAAATAAGGTGGACAAAGCTGTGTAACGAATTTATCTGTTAATGAGTTAATTATCGATGCATCAAAGGAACAAATAAGAACAATTGATAGTATTGATATCGAGTTACGTTGTAGAAGCGATGGAGGAAGCCTATGGATGCTTCGCCACATGTAATGACTGAAAATTAATAATATCGAAATAACTACACCGTATATTGCATATTCTGCTTTAAGATTTGATATGTTAAGGAAGATACCTGAAAATTCATATGATAATGCTATCGATGTAAAGATTCCTTCGATTGAATAAGGCAAATTTACTGGATTTTCTTCAGTAAAGTTAGCGTATTTCTTAAAATTCATGATGAATCGTCTAAATGAGTTCATTTTTGTATCTTTAACTGTTGTTTGCTCTTTAAAAATAATTGAATTCGATAAATTTTTCTTAAATATATCTAAAAAGTAAGTCGTATTACTACAAGTTCCATTAAGTTTCTCATTTGACCATGATCCTAGTAAAATAAATCTATCTTGAATCGTGTAATGGTATCCGCAAACGTCTATTGGTTTAATCATATATTGGTTCTGTTGTTTATCCTTAAATGTTAAAACTCCGCTTAGATAATTTACTGAATCACCTATATAAACTTGCTTTAAATATAATGTATACGTCGCAACTTTACTTTTAGTGAGAAAATCACTAATATAAGGAACTTCAGTCCATTCTCCAGATATTGCAATCTGGTAATCTGATGAAGTTCCTGAAAGAAAGAGCGAAAAAAGCAAAAACATTCCAAAAATTTGGCAAAAATTTCTCTTGACCAATATATTTGGAAGCACATATCTGTTCTTTAGGCATCTTATGCATTGTATTTCATTGCCATAAGAAAAACAAAGAGGAATTTGACTTGCCAACTTGTACCAAGATGAACGATTTGGATTCATAGACTGCTTGTTTTACGATGTAACACGCTGGCATAACATAGTGATTAGGCTATATAACGAATGAGTAATAAGAGTAAGTATTAGAGCTTAACTATTACATGTATCAGCATTCCTATATTGAATATTATATATTAATACAAATGATTTTGATTAAATATGAATTTAATGAAATAACGAATATATTTTCATAATTATATAACATATTTATAATTTCTATAACATACAAACAAAAAAATCTAGAAAAATGTTGTCTTAACACGTGAAATACCACGTGAATTTCTTGCATTTCGTCTATCATAATCTGTCGCAGCTAATGACTTCGATGGTAGTCCAAATGTTCCAGAATTAACTTGACGCATTGTTTCAACCTCAAATCGAGGAAGTGGGCCAACATTACCAGAAACAGTAGGTAATTTAATGCAATTACTAAAGTAAATTGTTCTTAAATCAAATTCTATTTCAATGACATCTTTTTGATACATTAAATCTTTCATTATACTATCAACTTCAACAACACTACTAGGACCTCGTACAGCAATGGAATCACATAGGAATGGTGTTAAATCATATGTTATTGATGCCGGTGGGAATGGATCAGTAGGAGTATTTAAATCTATCGTCATTTTTGATAATTTAACAGCTTTGAAAGCGTTGGAAGAAAATATAAATCGTTTTTTCTTATTTAGTTTCCATATTGTTCCTTCACTAGCTTCGTCTGTAAAAGGTAATAAAGTATGATCTTTTCCATCTTCGAAAACAACACTGAGAGAAGGGAAATTTTTTGCGAAATTGATAAACTTGATGCCTTTTATTATAAATTCTACTCCAAAGATGGCAATTTCTTTGCCAGGATTGGTGGTATCAAACATATATGTAAAAATTTTAACGTACACCATTCAATAATCTGTCTATGTTATTGTTTCTCTAAAATGTATTGATTTCGCATGTAAACTCAATATAAATTGATTTTAAATTGTTAAATTACATTTCTGTTTAGAATTTCTTTATTGCTTATTTGAAATCATGATTAATTGGGCAATTTGTATTATCAATGCTCGCTCTTAGCCTTTCTTTTTGCATTTTTTAATAGCCGAAATCATTTCACCATAAAAAAATTCTGAAATCAAGAAATCCTTCAATAAAATTATTATAAATCAAAGATTTATCAGTAAATTCTTATAAAACTACTTATCTTAAGTTATGAAAATGTGATATTCTATGAGAAAAGAGAATTTTATGTGAACAATCGAAATATATTCATAAAAACAATAGATTTTAAATAAATACAAACATAATAAACAATATATTGAGTTATTCTAATCTTCAATCTTTGGTAAATCGTATCTAATTGGTAGTAATCTCGAACAAATCTTTCCATCTTTAATTTCCCAATTAGTATCATAATTTGAGCCGAAGAAATTACGATTGGCCTTTCGAAGCCTATCATTTACAGCAACTCTATTATCTTCTGGATCAAAATTATGTCGTTCATGGTTAACGTGGTAAATTGGCGGATCTAAGTTAAATGTAACTGTATCACATATAGTATTTAGCCATCCAACAAGCCAGTTATCCCAATTATATCTTCCCATTATAAATGGGGGTATCATTTCTGGATTAAATGGAGGATTATCTGCTCGGAATGTGAATGTATCAATACCATATGGGCTATGGTCTTCATGATAACTGTCCATTACAAATCTATCTATTTCTTTAAGGAAATCCTTAGATCCGTAGTTGAGAGTTGATAATTTTTCTTTTCGTAAATCAAAGTCGATTCTTTGTCCTATCATGACAACATTCTTATTTTTCATTGATTGGAATACTTGTTTAACTCGATGAAGCCAAGTTGAAGATAATACGATATCAGCATTGATAAAGCAAACATATTTTGACTCTGTTTCTTGAAGTCCTCTTATAAACCAATGATCAATGTATGGAACTTCATTAAGGTCTGATTTAATATAGCCAAGATATTTTACGCGATCTGGGCCGTATAATTTATCAAGAAGATTTGGGAACTCTCCTGATGGATCGTATTCTGATCTATTTACAAATAAGAGAACTCTACTCGAATTTGAAACTGAAAGCCAAGAATGAATCGCTAATTTGTTCCTTTCGAAGATATCACCATTCATAAATGGTCTTGGAACAGTAATAAATGCAATTTCATCAACTGAATTTAGCGTAATTTCACGAAAATTACTAGGTCTCGGACAAACAATTGGCTGTTTTGGTAATGTGAATATAAATCTGAAAACTGAAAAACTTAATAGACATGTAATTGCTAGAGAAAGAAAATACATACCTATTAACTTGCGTGGTACATATTTTCTCAACATAATTATGTCATTTTTTCTCCTTTTATATGAAATTTCTTATTCAATAATTCAAACAGATTGTATTTGTATGTACTTATGGGGAAAAAAGAAGAAAAATTAAATAAAATTTTAATAAGATTAATTTTTTACATAACAATAGTATTAAATTTCGGTGCTAATTTGTGATTTAGTATATCTGTGGGAAGCTTGAGATGGCTTGAGCATAATTATTTCCGATTTTAGAGGCAATATCAAATAAAAGTGTCTTGTTAACAGTTTCATTAGATTCAATGATTGAGGCGACATCTATTCTCCATGGTCCTGTGCTTAAGTATGGTATCAAATTTTTAACACCTTCTTTTGGATCTACTCGGCCAATTTCACCAGTTTTGTATCCATCAGCAACCCATAATGCTGCTGGTAAGTTACTTCCTCTAGATAGATTTAGCATTGTTTCCCATGATTCTTGAACATTTCCTTCAGTCATATTCATGATGACGCTTAAGGCATTTGCATAAGCTTTTCCACTTCTACGCTTCTTCCACCATCCAGATGTAGCTCCTGTTTCAACATGAGATAAAATTTCTAATGATTCCATAGCATCTCCATTTTGTTTAATATTTTCTAATGCATAGTATATTGTTGACCAGACACCTCCATATTTCATTGCAATTTTGGAGAATTCGAATGGATTTTCTGTAAATGGATGAAAAGTCAAGGTATCAAAGCATGACCATAAGCCATACTCAGCTCCTTTATTTAGCATTATGTATGATCTTGTAAGATTTTGTGTGAAGTTTCCCAATCCAGTCATAGCAAATAATCCTGCAGCGCAATAAGCAGGATAATAACCTCGTGATATAAACTGTATAAGTTTTCTCTCTAAATTGGATTCATATGTTCCATTGATATATGAGTTTATTACGTCATCAAATTCATCCAATTGATGAGGTTTATAATTTGAGGCTTCACATGACCATCCTTTGCATAAGAATCTCTTAATTGTATCATTTTTGTATGGAATGATATACCAAGGCTGAACCATCAAATTCTGAAATCCAAGTATTGTTACAATCATTAGTAAAAAATAAAAATCTTAACGTTCATTATGGTTTAGTATAGATATAAAACCACTGTCCTGATGAAATGGATCTTATAAGCCTTGAAATCTTGAAAATATAATCTAAATATGGTAATTTATTTAAAAAGTATAGAAATTATATATAATTTTATATTTTAGATATAATACAATAGGAAAAGTTATAATTAATTTTTGCGATTTCTGAAATACAAAGATAATAACGATCCAGCTGCAATCAAAGCAGTAGCTGCACCCGCTGCAGCAAAAACTGGGATACCAAAGATCTTAAAATCTTTGGATGGTGGTTTATATTCTGGTAGTTTGTCTGGAAGCTTCTCTGGTTCAATTGCTTTTGCGCGTCTAGAGTAATCGTTAGCCTTTTCAGTATCTTTTTGGCATCCTAAGCCTGCATTGAGAAGTTTTGCGGCTTCGAAAAGAGCGATTGGCTCATCTTTTTGAGCCAAAACAAGTTCAAAGCATTTCATTGCTTCTGCAGCGTTTTTCTCTGAATATTCGATGCTAGAAAGTGGTGATAGTACTTGTCCCATTAGTGAATATGCTATTCCTATGCCAGCACGTGCTGCATAAGATAATAATTGAACACCATTTTGTGTTTTACCTTCTTGTATTAAGATTAATGCAAATCTGAAGACAGCAGCTGGTTCTCCATATTCGATTGCTGCAACACTAATAAGATCACGTACAAATCCTTGTTTTGATGGATCATCTTCCAAAATTTCAATGCCATAGAGCATAGCAGGTGTGTAACCTGAGAGCATTGAAAACTGTAGATATCGTTCGGCTTCTTCGCTGTTCTCATCTAAGTGTGTAGCGAGGTGCAAAAATATATCAAATGCAGAGTGAGGATCAACAGAGTCTGTTGTAGGATTTCTAGCTTTAATAAGACAATCCCATTTAGTTTCTGATTCTTTTTGAAATGTAATTAAAATGTGATCCTTTTCGACTTGAGTTGTATACGATTGAACCTGTTCAAATAGTGTTCCATTGATTACTGGCATTAACTTATCAAAATATGCCTGAAAAACTGTTTTTTCATCATTTAATTCATAAGTCATCGAATTCGGACTGAAATCTGAAGGAAATTCTATTGTAACTTGGACGGAATGAGGATCTGGTTGCTCGAAATTCCAGCGATATAATTGTTGGAAGTGTCTATCTATGCGCGCCATTGATTTTACAAAACTTTTGCTTGATGGGTCACTTATCAAAATAACCTAGATAATTAATAAATTCTGTTTGTATATTAGATTTCTGATTCAAATGTCCAGTTTTATGAAGAATATTTTGGCATCTTCAATAATCTATTGAATTTTGGATTATTGATTGGGAAATCTCATTTCTAAGAGCATATAAGTTTAAGAGTACTCCTAAATTCTTCAATTACTGATATTAAAATAATTGTATTTTCAGAAATAGTAAAATGATGATTTGAATCAAGAAATTATAATTTTTACTAATAATATATTTGTATCCATTATTTATTTTTTGGATTTAATAGAAATTTAAGTGGAAAATTATTTTTGAAGAATAAAACTTCCAAAAAAAATTCAAAAATCTAATTTTGAAGTTCAAAAGTTAAGATATTCTATTTGTTTTCAAGATTTTGAAAAAAATTTGGAAAATCAAAATGCTAAAAGATGCCTTCCTCTTCAATTTTATCACGTAAAAACTCCAAAATAAAGCGAAATAGAGATTTTTTAAAGAAAATCCATCATTTATTAATAGCTTTTCTGTATTTGATCATTTTCTGGCAATAAGACATAAAGTTACCCAACAATACCTTAGTTCAGTATGGAAAAATGCAATATAGATTAACAAGAATAGAAACATTAATTTTATAGCTAAGAGAGTAAAATTAACATCCATAGTAATGGTCAGTATTCTCTAATAATGGATCTAATCAAGATCTATTATATGAAATCATCTAAAATTCAATAGCATCAAACAAATTTATGGTTGAGATTTAAGATTTTCTAAGTACATTGCTATTTCTTGATCACTAAGTTGGATTGCATCCTCATCGTCTTTTGCTTGAATTGCGGCCATGAACTCTGCATCTGTTGGAATTCCAAGGTCCATATTATCATCTGGGTCATTAGCCTTATTTTCATCAAGTTGTTTGTATTGAGAATGGCGGAAACAACTCAGTAAAGCTCCCATTTTTTAAACTTTATTACTCAGTACGATATATGGACCCAAAATTAATAAAATTGACCCCTTATTGATGGCAAATTATTAATTATTCATGATCTCTTATTACAAAAGAATCATGAAAATCAAAACAGAAGACGAGATTTTGGATGAAGCTAGAAAGTTAAAGAGCCAGATCGTTCTTCGCAAAAATGATTTATATCGTAGAGATGCAGACTTTAATTTCATTGCATTCCCTTCGATGATGAATACAATGACTGTAATGAACGGTGCTAGAAACTTTGTAATGACAGAACATCCTTTCTTTCAGCCATTTTATATATTACCAATTCTTTATGGGTATCAGTATTGCTGCTATTTCCAAAATGACCTTGAAAACAACATTTATTCTACAACAGCGCTTTTCTTTACTGATGTTAGAAGATTTGATCAAATTTTAACTAATTTTCATGTTCCTGAGCGCTTTTCCCATCCAATTAAGTTAACTTCACTTTCTCTCATTCAAGCTTACTACTATTTCCACATTTCAAAAGCCCAAACTACAAGTAACTTCGAAAAAATTCTAAAATATGCATTGATTGTTGGCAATAATTTCATTTGTGATGCAATTAACGAAAAAGTAGCTAGTAATCATTCAATATATATTCATATCCCAGTTAAAATTCTTACATCCGCTTTATTTGGCTCAATTAATTTTATACTAGCTTCTAAATCATTCCCAGCAATTAAGCAGAGTATCCGTACATATATAGGAAAAATGCTCTTCTTTAAAGACAAAATTGAAGAATTTCCAGAAAATCTCGACGTTCCTGAAGAATTACAATGCACAATATGCCGATCATTACTCAATGATCCAATGATACTAGGATGCAACTTCTATTGCAAAGATTGCATCAATCATTGGTTAAATGAAAACGAAGTTGACCCTGCTGATGGTTTACCAGCGACAAAACGCAGTTTATATCCTTCTCCTGAAATGAAACACTTTTGTTGCCAATATTACAAACTTAAAATTGCAAATACAAACCAATAATTTTCTATTGTTTAATAAATGAATAAATTTATCATCTTTTTTCTATTTAATTTCTTCTATACATTTTAGATTTGCTCTGATATTGATTCTTGCATATGCTCAGTCCAATTTTTGATTCCATATTGTATAATCATTAAACATGTGGATATTCATAGTAACTTTGGATTATGTATTATCGTTTTCATCTAATATTTCTTTACAGAAGAAATTTGAGGAAAATTCACGTCGAATCTTATGAAAATTATCAAGAAATATTGTTTCGGAAAGTTCAAACTCATACTTAGATGCTTTAGTACCAATATACATACTATAAACGATGTAATTCCGAATTTTGACTAAATTTATTGAAATCGAAATGTAATTTCTTTTATTTTCATCATGTTTGTCATGCCATAACTCCAGATAATAGATTTACTACAATAATATTAAAATCGATTGATGATTTTATCATTCAAAAATTCCATGAGCGACATTATAGGTAAAGTATATCAATCATTGCAATCGTGTGACCCTCATTCTATTAAGATATATATTAACGATCATGAGTATAATACAAATCTTTATATTGGAATGGCAATTTGCAATACAATTCAAAATGAATTTTATTTAAATCAATCAACGAAAGAATTTAGATTCTATACAAACATTACTGACAATAATACATATGATGTACTTGAAAAGATATTTAGATTACAAATTCCAGAGAATGTCGAAGATAATATTGCTTGTGACCTTTTGAATCTTGGAGAAGTAATGAAAAGTGAATCATTAATGTCTTTCTTTATGAAAAAATTTCAAAATGATGAATACAATTCGGAAAACATACTTATAAATGTTAAATATTGCAAACAAATTGGATACAGCGAAAAAATATTCGATTTCATATGTGAAAACATCGATTCAATCAACCATGACGAACTAATAAATTCTATTGTAGAAGCTGGATTAGATTTTGCAGAAAAATTATTGATTCATTTCAAGAACAGAAATAAAAACTCAAATGATATCATATTCTCCCTGATAAATAAAAATGCAATTTTCATTGATACAATTTCATATCTCAATGATGAATATATTGAAATCAGAGATGCTAAAGATTCATTGAAAGATTTATCTGGACGATCATCAATCATAGCAATTTTCAAAACTATTTTAGATCAAAGAAAAGAAAAAGAAAATAGAATTCAAGAATTTGAACAAAAGAATATAAGTCTTGATAATGAATTATCTAAATTAAAAGAAGAAATAGAAAACATTAAACAAGAAAACTCAGATATGCAAAATGAATTAACAACATTACGCATAGAAATTGGAAGAATTAAACAAGATAACTCAAATAAAGATAATGAATTAGCAAAATTAAAGAGAAAAAAAAGGATCTTTATATGACGAATTGAATAGATTAAGAGAAGAAAGGCACCAGCACCCACGAAGTTTTTTTGAAGTTCTTCGAAACTGAAAGCGTGGAAATCAATAAACTGTATGTACATATATTCTTAGATTCATATAAGAATCTTAAGTTAAGGATAGTAGATTCTAAATCCTATTCTGAAACATAAAATTATAATTAGGCAATCTCGAAAATAAGATGATTCTCAAATTTTCAAGCATTACAATATCCACATATGCATAAAATTGTACTTTTACAAGCTATAGATGACTATAATCATGTATTGTTATAAGAAATTATGATAAATATGTTTTTTTTTCACACTACATTTTAGGCTCTTTCTAAAATTGACAACAAAATTCATGACTCTTCTATGAATGAGAGTGTTACTATTTTATAATGATAGATTTATATATTTTTGTTTTTAAATCTTTTTATTAAAAAGAATAATATTTAATTTTTGAGCATTATGGTCAATACTATGAATTATAAACCTGATTTACTGTTATTGAAAAAAATATAAAATTTTATAAAATAATTAACATACTAATTTTTATTATTAACAAATTAATCAACAAATTTAACCGTAAAAGTTCCATTATCAAAGCATCTAAACACAGCTTTTCTTCCTTCATAAATTCCATTCAGATCTTCGTAATCTGCACCTGGAGGTCTTGTCGCAGGGTCTTTAATTGCTTTTTCTAAGGCATTAAATCTCTCTATCAGTGCTTCTAACTCAGACATTTCCTTTTGTTTTTCAATTTCGTCAATTAAAGATAAAACCACGTTATCAGATTGACAACGCGATATTTCTTCCAACTCATTAGTGAGTTGTGATTGTAAATCTGTAATTTTCGAAATAGTTTCTTTATTTGATAATTCAACTTTCTTTTTCATATCATCGAGCTTTGTAAACGATGTATTTTGTATTTCCTTCATTAAATCTTCAAAAGAGTTCTTTATATCGAATTTTTCTGTTTGAATTTGTTCGTTAATCTGTGTTGTTGAAGTTAAGCCATCATCAGCCTTAGTTTCGAGATCTTCTACAAGTTTAGCTGCTTTATTGACCTTTTCATCGAATTGACTTAGAATTTGTTCATGTTCATTGATAATACTAGCGGTAAGCTGCTGTTTAAGCTGATCTATCATTACACTAGCATTAACACATTCTTCTTGTTGTTGAGCAATTTTTTCTAGGTTTTCTTGAAGTGCATTTGGGATAGTTTTGAGACTTTCTAGTGCACCATTATGTAAATCGATCTTTGAAGTGATTGATCTTGAAAGAGTTGCTACATTCTTAAGAGAAGTATCAAATTCTTCTTTAAATTGGAAGAATTCATCGTGTACCGGACGCAATTGTTTCGGAATAGATAACATTCCAACGGTTTGTTGGTTCAATCCAAGAGATTGAATCCTTCTTGATGTTTTAATACTAGTTGTATGAATAGCATCCATTCTTGGAATTATTTTATCAATTTCGTGTTGGAGATCAACACCAACATTTTTGATATTGCCTTGAGAGGACTGTATAACTATATTGCATGTTTCTTTTAACTTTTCTATTCTAGGTTGTACTTCATCTAAACTTTGTAAGAGATCATCGCGTAATGCATCTAATTGAAGTTCCTCAGTTGGTTGCTTAACAATAAGACCTCGTGTGGGAGCAGTTTCAGCAAAAATACTCCCGAAAACATTAGAATCAGACATATTTACCTAAAATCTTTACTAAAAAAACGTACACTTTTTTAAGTTACGGTAATAAAAAAAAGTTGTTTAGCAATCAAATCATGATGATATGAAAATCTTTCCAGTATTCACAGACAACAGGGTTGTGGTCCTGTAACTGCTTGTTATATTTGATTCAAAGAGAATACTCCTAAATCCTTTTCGTTGACATTATAATGCTTATTTGAAAGCAATACATCTATACTATAAGCTTTTTTCAAGGCCGAAATGCTTAAAAATTAAGTTGAGGCGTTGATATTCACAATCTATGATATATAAGGTAGTCACAAAATCTAAGTAGTGTGGCTCTCAAAAATTGAACCGTACTCCATACAAAATTTGTGTACCCTCACTACTGAGATTTTGTGGCCTTCAATTGAGAGGTTAGTTTTGATAGAGCACGTTATAAAATTGAAAGGAAAAAATAAATAAAATTAAAACATTTAATTATATATAATGTAAGGAGTGTAATTCCAAATTTTCTAAAAAGTATTCAAATTTGAGCATTTTTTTGGAAATAGTAAATCTAATACGTACATCTAATAACAACATGATTCATCACCTTTTCAAGCTCTGCAGTCAATTTTTTGAAATTTGATTGAAAAAAATGTAGCAAAAATTACATTTCATTAGGGAATATATGAGTTTCTCTGGAAACTGGCTTATAAATTTTAAACTTTGTCCAATCAACATGAATGCTTTGAGAAATGGGGATTGATTTTCTGGTAGAATCTGGAACAATTCAACCATGGATAAATGGATCATGTAATCATCATGAAATATTAGTGTTAGAGTTCAAAAGAAACAGAATGAGTGGAAATCAAACACAATCTGAATAATTTTAAACGTATACAATCTTTAAGTTTGTATTTTGAATTCTACATATATGATTGTGTAATTCGTTCTTTCAAATTTTCGGATTCAGGCATGTTTTGATAAAATTCATTCTCAAAAACGTCAATTAACAATTAAATTTAGTGCATTTTAAATATATGTACATATTATATTATATTAATTATATTAAATTCCCAAAATTTTAAGTTTTAAACAAAAATAAAAAATGTTCAAAATATGAAATTATGCATATGATATTAAAATTTACATGTAAGCATTTTTTTTGAATTGCTTTCAATTTTCATATTGAAATTTTTAAGATTTTTTTCTGAAATAATAGGCAAGCATATCAACCTAAATAATATTAAATTCAAAAAAAAGGTAGTGGGGCTTCCAGGCGCGTTGCGCCCTCTAGCCCCGAAGATGTTTAGTATAAATGAAGTTTTTATTCGGAAAATTGTTAGTCTTCTGGTGTGAATTCGGCAATTCTCGTGTCGAATGACCGTTGGATGTAACGAGGAAGATTTTGACGAACTTGGTATAAAGTTCTCAACATTATAAAGGATGTGGCGAGTGGGGCTTCCATTAGATAAAAATGAACTGACCAAAAAAGACAGATATTTAAATATTTGAGATAAACCGTTTTCGTCAACGGTAACACTCTCTATTTTTTTATTTTATTTAATAGTTACCGTTGGAAAAACGGTTTATCTCAAATATTGAATGAACTATAAACGTTTTTTGTTTTCTATATATACTTTTTTGTCCAACGGTAAAACTTTTTACACAACGGTTTTTGAGAGTCGTCGCCGTTGACTTTTTTGTAGAGCACTCAAAATAGTATAACTTTGTCCGGACAAGTAAGGATCTATCGTCGCTACAGGAAAAGTTACAGGCGTTCCAAGGAAGTATACTTTGAGAAGCCTTTTTCCCCTTATAGAATGAGATAGGACGGTTATTTTACAAAACTGACAACACTTTGACCGAGTAGTTTTTTGTGCTGAACAAAAAGTGTCATATAAACATCTGTCAAAAACTGCTTTTTAACTTCACTTAAAATGCCACGTAAGCTACGTAAGAATATACGTAAGAGGAAGGGAGCATTGAAACATCCAATAGTAAAACTGACACCACAACAACAGTTGCAACAACAAATGATGAATGACCCCACTATGTTGCAACAAATGTCAAGCAACCCTATGCTTTTAAACCGAGTTATTGGTGCACAGAGTGGAGGTTTAAGAGCGGCACTTTTAGCGAAAATGGCAGGCTATGGTGGAGCTGCAGACGGAACAGCTTATAACCCTCAAAGTCAAATGAATTTGAGTTCACTCAAAAATCAAATAACAGATGTCAAAAAGTCAAACATAGACATACAGAAACAAATAAGTGAAAACGAAAAGAAACTAGAATATGACAGACAGACAAAGAAACTAAATGAGTTAAACGTAGAGAAAAAGAAGAAAGAAGAACAACTGAAAGAACTAAGTACAGAGGAATATGCAAAAAAAGTGTCAGAAAAAGCAGCAGAAGTAGCAAAAATGGAACAAGATGTTATAAATTTGAAAAACCATACTACTCAATATAAAGTACTGAAAGATGAAGAGATAAAACAAAAAGCCATGAAGACATATATGGATAGCGATGAGTATAAAAAAGAAGTTGAAGCAAATGTAAAGGCAGAAAAACTTTTACAGTTGCAAAACCAAACCGTACAGTATGAAAACTTAGCACAAGAAAGTAAAAATAACGACGCAGCCATGCAAAAGGCAATGAAAAGCGCAGATATTATAAAAGCTAATAATGACTGGTTAGATGCCCAAGCCAACGCTAAAGCAGCCCAACTTATAGGGTCAATAAGGACAAAAATACAAGCGGATGAAGACAGTTCAAATGAAGCTTTAATGAATGCTGACTTTAAGAATGCCTTCGAAGCTCTTCATAGTAAGGTGAAACTAGTGAACGACTTCTCATCTGGAAAGAAACTGAAGTCTGAAGGTTTCGACAAAGAGTTAAGAGAAGTAGCACAAAATATGACGAAAATAACAGATGCAGCAACGAGACAGGCAGTTCAAAGTGCCTATGACGCCGTTAGAGCAGCTGTTGTGGAAAGTCAAGAAAAAGAGTTACAACAGACCAAAACAGACCTAGGAAATGCTTTCTTAAAAATGAAAAGTCAGGTAGGACATTATGCTGCAGATGGAACATATGTGCCAGCTGGTGGAACTTATATACCACCAAACCCTCCAAGAGAAGCACCTGCACCAGGACTACCTAAAACATTTACATCGTCACATGGACACAGACACAGGCATGCACCAAAACCAACACAACAACCAACAGTTCAAAATCCAGCACCACAACAACAACCAAAACCAACAGTTCAAAACCCTGCACAACAACCAACAGAGCAAAACCCTGCACAGCAGCCAACAGTTCAAAATCCTGCACAGCAACCACAAACAGAGCAAGGACATAAAAGAAGTAGAGAAAAAGGAAACCAAGAATTCTTAAAAATGCTTAAGGAAGATTATGGTTACCCAGATACTCTTGACTTTAGTGACAGATATAAAGAAGCTATTAGAAAGTTCAAGGAAGGAAATACTGACCCGAACCTATTTAGCTTTATGGTTCAGCATAAAATCGGATATAATCTCAAACCTGGAAAATACAAGCTCGCAAAGGGATATGATTTAATAGCATATCATCCAAATGACATGAATGAATTTACTCCGAGATATTTGATGTCAGAGCTAAATGATAATTCAACTCTCTTCATGAAACGCGTAAAAAATAGAGACAGAACGAAAGAAGAAAGGTTTATGAGTCCGGATGACTTAGATAGGGAACTTGTTAAAAACGGTCTCGGAATATATGAAATGCCAGCAGATGAGGTACAAGAAACTCCACAGGAAGAAGTTCAGATACAACCAGACATGGAAGAAATAGTTCAGCAACAACAGCTAGAAGAGCCTGAAGGAAACGAACAAGTCCCTCCTTTGGAAACTAACTTCACAGAACTAGATGAAGATTTGGAACAGCCGAAAAATCTTGACCCTCAACAAGTGTATGCGGAGAATATGGAATCTTTCCAAGAGTCTAAGAAAAATTCGGCTGACATAGTAGAAGGATATCGAAAAATGTTCACCGACATACAAAAGACTCCAACATCAGATGAAAATATTCAGCATAGAATGGAAGTACTGAAAGAAAATGTACGCAAATACAATAATCCTTTTTACTTACGACCATATAACGTTCAATCTTTGGCTGAACTCGGTGAAAATAAAAGGTTAAATTTCAACAAAACATATAGAAATGAAACATTGTTTAAAGTTCATTCAGAACCTAACCAATATGGAAACAAACCTACTTTTGTTTCTGCAGACTATGGAACTACAATGAGATGGGGTCATAAAGCTAATCCGGATAGGTGGTTCATAAACTTACAACCTCAATTCCAAGAAGTTGTAGACGCAATGGAATTGAATGGTGAACCAGATATAACTGGTATTTTCAGCGCGGCTTTAATGCCATTGAAAGATATGAAAGATGCAGATATTTTGGACCAGTATGAAATGAACATGGCTGAGGGAAATATAACACCTGACGTTCTAGAACATTTATCTCAAAGAACTACACAGAACCATAGAGATGGTATATTTGGTGAAGAGTTTAGAAAGAAAGTTAGGGAGAGAGAAGGAAGAGAACCTATTGTACATGACCTTGCAAACGAAAGTTTGCAAAATGTCATAAAAACTTACTTTGCAGACAATGAAATGAGAAGGGATGAATATTTAAGAAAACTCAAATGGACAGTACCAAATGAAATGTTAGTATTGAAAAACATGTTCCATGACAAAATAAAACCAACTACAGAAATAAATGACGCAAGACTGAAACGTTGGGTAAAAGCTTTCCCATTCACAAAAGATATTATTGGTTACATGGAAAGAAAACCAGAATGGCTACAAAAACATATATTTGGAAACGAGCTTATTCCATATGGACAAGCTCTGTTTGAAGAGCTTGAACCGGAAACTCAGGAAAGAGTCATGCAAACAATAAGCGAAGACTCAAATACAAACTATGACAAAATCTTTCTAGGATATAGGTTACCTGAGATGGGCGACCAGAGCCCAAAGGCAAAAAGGACATGGAAAATTTACAACATACTAGGTGAACATGAGGCAAAGATGCTACAACTTGAAGCAGAGGGCAAGTTACCAAAAGCGACACCAAAGAAGAAGAGAAGAGTAGAACAAAGTGAAAGTAGTGAAGAAGTAACTTCATCTAGTGAAAGATGAATAACCATAGTAAATGACAAAGATGCTATAAGATATGCCATCAGAAACTACAACCATATAGTGAAGTTCGAAGGTTTGGATGGTTCAGATAAAACTATTTTCAAGCTAACGAAAAGCATTTGCAGACACTTTAACTTCTGTCCACTTGGTGTTAACATTCTGTCTATGTCGAAGAGAATAATGAACGAAGTATTCTGTACTGCAGAAGATATGGGTCTTCAAATATTTTACCAGGACTGTGATAGCATGCATATTTTCAATGAAGACATACCAAAGCTTGCAGCAGAGTTTAAGAAGAGATACGGTCGCGAACTTATAGGAAAGAACCTTGGTCAATTTCATTCTGACTTCGCAGAAATAACACCTGGAAAACAAAGTTTAGCATACAAGTCAATATTTTGTGGAAAGAAGACCTACATAGACTTACTCACTAACGATTTAAATGAAGTTGCATTCCATGCACGTTGCAAAGGTGTCAAACAAGACGTCCTTGCTTTAACAGCAAATGAAATGTTTCCTGAAGCTATACAATGCTATTACAATGAAGATAAGAACATTCACATACCTGTTGGAACATATGACAAAGACTCTGAGTTCAGTTTAATGAAACTTTACAAAGCACTTTATGACGGTCAAGAGATTGGATTTGACTTATGTAAGTCATGTCAACCTTGCTTTGAAGAGAAGTTTAACTTCTCAATAACGACTAAAACAAGCTTTATTCGTAAGTTGAAGTTCTGAGGTCATTTATTTTTGTCAGCAATGAGGTCATTCGTGATAAAAATAAGCCGCTAGCGGCAAGGGCGAAGCCCATGTGGTCATTTACAATACTGCGATGGTAGAGTTTAAGAGTTGTGCTTCAATGTAGAGACAGTCCTTATGGTCTGGAGGTAAGAACACTGGGCAGTTATGGTCATGAGTGGAGAACATGTCTATCCAAAACTCACGATTGAAGCCAGTTAATTTATAGTATTTAGGGTTAGGAAGTGGTGAAGTTCTTGTATGACCAATGAACTCATTTTCAACTCCCTTACTTAAGTTTGAATATAATATAGCTTGCTTTCTATCCCAAATGCCAGGTGTTACAATCATTGAAAATTCATTTTTCCTCGGAAGCATTGCATCATAATTGAAAACATTCTTGAAATCATCACTTGGTTCAGAGATTTGAAATCTTATACGTAATGGATTTTCTTTCTTTTTAGCTACTTCATTGAATGGTGAATATATAACAAACTGACAGTCATGAGTTCCATCTTCATTTTCATTAAATTCATAATGAAAGTCTATAAGTTGTGGCCGACTACCTTCTTCTTTCAGTTGTGCAAGAAACTCACGTAAAGGCTGTAAAGTTTGTACTTCAATGTTGAACTTTTTCTCGAACATCTCATTAAATGAAATCATACATTGCAACAATGTTGTATCGTCTTTAAAGTATTTGTATATGTGAATGTTTTGGGCGCTTAAAGACTGTTCGTCATTTTCTATCTCGACTTGAAGTATAAAGTCAACCTTTCTGAAAGCACGTGTTATATACATAGATGTTATGCCAATGTACTTCTCTTCATTTATGTTCACAATCCAGTCTGTTGGAAACTTAAACGTTACTCTGTTCCCCTTTATTTTGACGTCAGGGTTTTCACTACTGAACGCAACAGATAAAGGTATTTGTCTATACATTTAATTCGGATAAAAATAAACCATTTACTCTTTCTTTGCTTCAGCTTCTTTAGCTTCTTCTCTAGCTTTTTTCGCCAGCAAACGTGGGTTCTTCTGTCTTCCAGCAGCTAATGCAGCAAGTTGTTTTTCACTAAGTTTTCTCTTTGGTCTCTCTGGCTTTTGTTCTTGTTTTTGTTCCTTCAGTTCGGATAAAATTTGCTCACGAATTTCTTTCTTCAATGCTTCAACATCTATGACCCCTTGGGTCTTGTCCGTAGGGCTTGTCTGAGTCATTTGACTGCAGATAAAAAACAAAATTAAAACTTTAACCGATGTAAAATGAGCTTGTCAAAATCAGAGCGAGAGTCTATTATATTAAATGACGCAAGAGGAATACAACATCCTTTCTATTACGTAAGTCAGAGTAAAGATGGTAAAATATATGTAAGAAAAAGAAAGGTTCCATTAGCGAATGCAGAAAGCGACAACATTAAGGTGTATGGCAAGGGTGAAGTCCACGAAGTCCATATAAAACCTTCTATTCAAACTGAAAAGTCAATAGAACCAGAAGAAAAGAAGCCAGATGTACTTTCAATAACGAACCAAGAGCTTATTGCAAAGTTCGTGAATTTCATTGAAAAACAAACCGAGTCAAAGAATCCTGACCCGCCAGTGAAAGAAGTTGAGACAAAAGAGAATGTACAGTTCATTGAAAATGTCAAGAAACAACTTCCACCACGAATGCCAAGAAGAAGAGTGAGAATAATGAAGTAAATAGATATTTTTATCTGAAGTAAATACATGCAGAACGAACAGCTAAACGAATTTACTCCAGCAGAGCATATTCATCAGATTCGCTCATATTTCGATATCATAGACAATGCAGTTCAAATTGGTGACACTAATAGAAAATATTCTGACGCAAAGATTCCATCACAACCTGGAACTGCTAAAGATAACACATGGGTAACATTCAATCTCTCACCTCCTGGTGAAAATATGTTGGACCTTTACAATACATTCATTACGTATAAAATGGAAGGTCAATTTATTGTAGATAAAGAAATTGGTTCAGGTTCCAATAAAACAAACCCACCAGGATTTTGGATTGGTTTCGATGACGCTTTCTATGCAGTTGCTGGATATCAAATCCTTGCAAATGGTCGTATCGTATATTCTCAAGACAACGCAAGAGAAGAAGCATATATAACTTCAAACTCACAAACTACCGAACAAATAAAGAAAGTAGATGTTTTCTCAAAGACTCGACATGAAGATGTATGGAGTCATTCGGGAACATGCAGAACAGGACAAATTGTTAGTGGTCCAATTACAGCAGGAAAATCATTTGATTTTAAGCTTCGTTTAAGAATTCCTGTTAGAAGATTCCTTCCATTAGAAGCTATTCGATTTATTCCAGCTTTTGCAGGAAACATTCAGCTTAAAGTAAAGTTCAGTAGCGACGCCTTACAATGCACATCTATATCTGTAAATGATATCATTGCTTTCAATCCAACTCTTAAAGTTGCATTTGCTTCAGATTCAAATCCACCGACAAATAAATTTGTTCCATGGAATGAACCATTCACTATGATAACGAAGTCAGTAGAAGCTAGTGGAACAGTTACTATTACAACTGTAACCCAGCAACTATTTCGAACAAAGATGGATTTTAATGAATGTTTTATTCATCCAAAGTCATTCTCTTTAGACCCTAACATTTATACAGAACTTGTAGAACATTATACAAACGAGGCTTTATGTTTTCCTGTTAAAGTTATGGATTGGATTCCTATGGACGGTTCATTCTCAAAGAATACAGATAGTTCAAGTGCAACATTTACAGCAGCTTATACGCCTATTAATGTTAAAAGTATTTGGGCACTATTTAGAAAGAAAGACAACTATTATGTTAATTTTGAGAACCCTAAGTTTAAATATCTTCAGCTTTCCATGGGAGCTTATGGAAATATGCCTGCAGAACCCGAAAAATCATATGGACCTGTATTTTATGAAATGGTTGCGAACGCCTGCAATACAAACAATGATATGATAGGATTTAATGAAGATGTTATGAGGTCATTGGTGGATGATGGTAGTGTGGAACATAAATGGGATAGCTATGACAACACACATTTCTTATGTGGTTTTCCAACAGAAGTGGACTTTTGCTTCCAGCAAGGTCAAACATCTACTGCTCCAATAACATACAAATTGTCTGTTAAAGGACCTATTGAACTAGCAACTGAAAATGTACCAAAGCCACTTATTGGATTTATGAGGGATTGTTGCTTTGCCATTCAGGTGCGTGCTAATGGAATCCCAATAATAAGATTAGATGACTATAACTTAGCTACGGACGACGGTGAGGAATAAAGGATGAACGTTTATTTTAAAGCTTATAAATGAGTTCTTCATCAAGCTCTCGTGAACCTTCACCATCTATGAAACAAACTTTACCAAACGATTATGGAGCACCTCTTGAATATTTCTTACGAGCTGCACAATGGCAAAGAGCAGTCTCACCAAGGTTAGGTGTTCCACCAGCTCCTGTCAAAAATAGC